CCTTTCCTAATTTGGCATTCCTTCGTCAGGCAAACTTGCCGTAATTCTACCTTCAGGTATCACATGCTATACTACATTGTAGGTTTTCTTGTTTTCACGTCTACGGGCACCGTCGAACTAAATGCCGTTATTCGCACTACCAACAAGTTGATGTGGGTTTGATTCGAAGTTGTCTCTGTGGCCAGATGCTGTGGTCTCGTTCCTGAGATTCACTGCACTTTGATGTTATCCGGACTCATTTCTGGATCACGGTTCTAACTGTATCATGTTTCAACTTGTCGATTCTTCTTACCTCTACAATAATATTTTGTAATGTGATTTTCTGGATCCCTCCACAATATCCTGAGTATTCCGGTCTGAATTTCAGAACCTTTGAAAGGGTGGGCTGCTTTTGTTTTTGGCACTCTCACATCACTGTCGTTATATGAACAACGAGACTAACATTTTCTCTTTTGCATAGCGTCAGGCATTTGTACCGATTACTAAAAAGCATTGACTGATCTCTGAACACTGAATCAGGAAGCGGTATCATAAAAGCCGATATCATTCGTTTTCATTGGCACAATGAAATTAATATGTCCATCGTGCAGATACTTCCGGGTTTTCGCAACAACAGTTGAACCTTTATTGCACTGCCAAGACTTCACGGCTCCGCTTTGAACATATCTTCTTGAAGCTGATTCACGCATCGGATGTCCGTCCTTAATCCGGCCTTAAACCACACTAACATTGTTTATTACTGCGTCAGCTGATGGCTTTCCACTGTTTTGGACGACTCTGTGATGTCTGTATAGTGTGTGAAAATTCGATTATTGGCGACTGCGCGGCTTCGAATTGCTGCTGCAGTTGCAGCAAAATGGCCTTCAGGTTTTCCTCCAAGATCCGTTGTGTTCTTACTGACTTTACTACGAAGCGAACCTGCATGACACAACGGAATGAACCGGAGTGCTTTTTGAAAACAAACGGCATATGAATTGCCAGAACTATCACTAGTATTGCGGCACAGTAGCTGAGGTGTTTCCCACCTCTAGCTAACGTGTATAATGCGTGTGTGTGTGTGTGTGTGTGTGTGTGTGTGTGTGTGATCACTAGTCGGACGTGACCCCATCGTGGCCGACAGCTGCCGCGGCAGCGAAGCACAATGGAACTTGTTTTATATCATCTGAGCGGATAGATTTATCGGAAGCGCCCATCTCATTGTTTAAAGGTTTTATCAAACTTCGTGCAGTTCCGAAGTCGTTAACATTCTTATACATGGTCTTCTACCTCTTTTCTTGATCTTTTCATTTAGCAGTTCTCTATCCTCCTTACCTCTTCTGCTATTGTGTCCGTAGTTTTGCTTCGTTTGTCTCCGCGCATTGTTATTTCCCCCACAGTATCTTGCCTGCATGCATTACAGCATCTAGGTCCACTGCGCTCCGCTGCCACTATCATCGTTGACAATGTGGATTAAGATTTACGTAAGGGCTTACTCTGCTACATGTGTACTTGTTTGTGTTTACGCTCCTCACCACATTGCTCGTCCAGAAAGTGAAATCTCCCAATAACAACAATTCTTTAGATGAGAAAACCATTTGAACCAGTAATGCTCAGTAGAAGCGTCAAGCATTTTGAAGAAAACTGGAATTAGTCACTTTGCGCATGCGCCTGCCTCCTTGTTACTCAGGAAGAATCTACTTGTAGGAATCGACCTAGCTGTTTCAGAAGCTAAATATCCCTGCATAGATCTATAAATGTGTTGCTCTGCACCGTTTCTGCAGCTATTCCATCAACACGATTTTCTGTCTTCTTATTTCCCTTAAGATTGGGAACCCGCGGGGAACGTGACTGTGACGGAGCTCTGAAGTTAGGCGAGCTCAATCCACTCCCTCTGCTCCTCCGCTTAGTTTCTCATTCTTTGCCCATTCTCTAGCCTAATATCTGGTAATTTATCCAATCGTTCTTAACACATGGTTTGATTTTACCCAAATTGCGGACACTACTATCTTTAGTTTCGTTCGGACGTGCACTTATGGTATTATTGAAGCTATGCTCTGATGGTTCCCGGTTTTACCATCGGTGAGATTTTTTCTTAGAATTCAAATTAGCACACCGTTTGTCATCACATTTTGTTATATTGGCTTGATGCCTCATGACTTGCAGATGCCATTGTTTCGTGAGCAGAATACAGCATTTGGACAAAGCTAGACTTGCTCAACCCTAGGCTACATGCTTAATCGTCTCTTCACTGATGACAATTATACGCTGCTCTCAGATACTTAGGTCATCCTTTTAGAGTGTATCATGTGTACATTTTCTCCTTAACACTTGTAGCACATCTGTCATCTCGTTCTGCTTGCCGGGGATTTTTCAGTCACTTACGATTGTAACTTGGTCAAACTCCGCATTTCTGGTGACCTTGAGCGAGGCCAAAGGTGGTATTATTCCTCTCGTTCGTAGAAAATTGAGCTTGGCTCCAAGCTATTCACTGTCATGTGAGTCACGCCCAAATATAAATTGCCTTAAATTTCCCTTATGTCAGTGGATAGCCACTTCCGTTGACTCCAAGATTAACCTCACCCACAAATCAATGTGTTCGAATCTATGACACACATTCGGTCCATTTTTACTCAGATTTAAGCACCAGATAAAACTTTAGTTTCATTTTGCATTTGTCACGTAACTAAATTCCACAATTTTGATTGGAATTTATTGTACTTACTAGCAAAAAGCTTTACCAGGTTTGACTTCCATTGAGACCCGGGTACCTCGATTCAAACTCATTCGTTTGAGCCTACAATTTTGCCCGATAGGAGGCGGGATGCTGAACACAAGAAATACGATGGACTATTTTTGAAATGGAGCGCAACAACCTGTCCAATCTGTCAAACTGTACTTGTCTCAGGTGATCCCATGCAGATCTGATAACTTTTGATGGTTGTGCCGCCAAAATTTACCATCTCAAAGCTGTAGCGATATATTCGGTGCTGGCAGTGTTATCTTTATCCGCTTACCGATCGCTTACGAAATATCCGAATCAATTTGCCCATCTCGATCACTGTTTTCCACATGAGGCATTCTACTTGATTCTTAACGTGCCCTTCACCACCTTCTTTATCAAACAGACGTCTCTCACGGCGTATCAGGCCTTGCGCACTTAATTAAATGATTTGTAAACACTAAGTGCAAGATGGTAGCTGAGGAGTGAGTCTTATTCATATCGGGATTCGTCGTTTCACCAATTGGCCTCCCTGTGCCACTTCACAATTCATGTATTGCATTAGATCTGCAGTTCGAGTCGTCAGATTTCAAACTGATGTTGTGTTGTAGCTCCTTGACTATGTATACCTGAGCGCAACCTCTACATCTTTTTGCTTTTTGTGCTCCCTGTCCGTGAAGCACTGCGGTGCATGCGGTTCACTCACTCTGATGGTTGAAGGTACCTTGAGAACATTATATGTTTTCTTTTACTTTACGCGCGTACCTGATTTCCTCTGCCACCCATCATTATTGCTTCAGTTGATAATGCGTTACTTTGCTAGATCCACTGCACTCGAGTGGTCAAATCACGGACGCAAATTCTCTCCGGCTCTCTTAGTTTACACTACGATTGCACATGCGACTTTTCCCACAGAAAACTAGAGTCGGTAGAAGTACAGCGTCGATCTCCAGCTTTACCTATGACTTCAAAGTGTAAACCCAAGCTTGATGGTACAGTTTATTCAGCTCACATTTGTTTTCTTTCTTTTAGCTTACACTTAATGGTACTTCGAACATGGTTGACAGGTACTTTTACCCGTGGATTCTGCGTCTCCTTACTCACCCTCCCCTGCGTTATCCTACTTAGCACACTGAGCGTGCATGTCACCATGTTGATCGGCATTGCACTCATTCTGCTTGCGCTGTACGCCTCATTACATTCAACTGTCAAACGGGACACTATTCCACTAACAGCTACTCATGCCCGATGCGACATCCTTCGAGCGGGAGGCGTGAACACCGAATACTTGGCAACTATCAGGCAAGTCTCTGTCACTGCGTAATTCGTTGTGTAGACATTTGCTTGTACGGGCTTTCTCTGATACATCTGTAGTGCTCGGATAGTAGTTGCTCAGTCTGGTTTAGTGGATTGGAGGGACCATCGTTAAACTTTGCTGTCCTTCTTTCCTTTGTAATACGTTCTCAGTAGATTTTCTGAATCAAAGTACCTTCGGCACATATCAACTTCGAACGTTGGTTTCAGTCTAGTCATAAGGCCAAATGTCCGCTGAGAGTTTCTCACTCATGACCTGCTGTCCAAACCTGCACTTAATTTAATCCATTTACATTCCCATAACTTGCCTCGGTTACACAACTGAAAAGTTCTCTCTAGCCTAGCAATTCCTCCATTTCATTACGCTCATGGAATATCAAAGACTTTCGACGTGTTTATTTGCTATGATTGCAACTCTGCTTGATACTCGGTCGATATATAGCAGGTGTCAATTGTGCTCTTGTACCTGGTACGGACATTTCACTGCCACGTGACCGCCGGCTGTCTCGTTGTCTGACCAGAGCTACTGCGAAGTCTCGTCGGCCGGTGACCGAGTGGTCTGCACGTTTGCTCTGCAACCATAAGGTCACCGGTTCGAATCCGCGTAGGGGTGGGCGTCCTCGCGGTATACTCAGCCCGCGCGCGACTGGTGGTGGTCGTGCGGCAGCGAAGCGCCGTTACGGCGTACAGCTGACACATTATTTTATTTTATTATTTATTACTGCGAAGTCTCGTACCTACGCAGTCTCGCACCTACGCAGTCTTGAATCCGTGACCTGCGGGTTCACTCGGCCACCGACTGGCATTCGGTTGATGATAGTTTACTGAACCTCTTATCCTGCTGTGTCCCTGTTTCACTTTCAACCAACGCATTTTTCGCATGTTAGCATTGTTTTATCGATCGGCATTTGAACATTCTTTGCTACCAATACCTGTTACTGACCATCGTGAATAAGCATTTGTGTGGTCCACTCATCTGCTTTATCCAATGTATTCATTACCTTTCTCGCCACGCAGCACATCAAAGCATATTTCCAACGTGATGTTGGCCGGCTTCATCATATGGTATTTGACTATGCTTCTTCCGGTAAACGTTGAGGAGAAGTTAACGGTTCCCGAAATACTGTTTTATCATTTTGTACTGCTGTCCATCCTACTCCTCTTTCGGCGACTTCGCACCGTGCACGAAGATAAAGGTAACCCATCAACTGTGTACTCTTCGCAATCTTCGTAGAACCATTATTATTTTCTTGCTGCTATCAAGTGTTCGGAATGCTATGTGATACGTACTTCCAAACTGTAGATGTTCTGTTTTCGTTTCGAGTATTTGTAGGGTATCCACTGATAGACCACTCTCTCACTACCTTATGAGTCACACACACGCACACACGCATATATATATATATATATATATATATATATATATATATATATATATATATATATATATATAATTTGTATATTTACCGACAGACGGTACACGGCCTCATAAGTGGGAGCGATCATTTGTATGATGAATAGGTTTCATGGTTTATGCAGCATAAATCATAATGGCACAGAAAAGTTTATTAATAGAATTTCGGATCATAATTTTTTTTTCCTCGGGTCGTACACCCGTGCACCTAATATGTAAAATTTACGGATGTTTGTGTCATCATTTTCTAGTTTGTAGGACTCAGGAGTAGATAATAAAAGGGTGGGAATACTAGTCTGCACAGACACAAGATTTGGTATTCCAGGTAATGACATGTAGTGGGTAAGCTAGTTATAAGCGAATATATACCATCTTCTGTCAATGTTTCTAGAGTTTGCTGTGAGTCAAAGATCTTCGACACCTTTGATATAGTGAGGAGCGTCTGAAGGGAATTTCGAAATGTGACCTAGCTTGCACTCATGTGTATCTGTAGGGGTAGTTTGTTCCACAAATCAGTGTATCTCACTAAGAAGAAATTCGATCGAGTTTTATGACTTGAAAGGTTTGTGCGTATCAAGTAGCCGCCATTACGTGTGGGGTAGACTGCAGTCTTCTGTAGTTCAAGTGCGGTGCTGTCTGCGTAAATTTGTTGGTTTATAATGTTGTAGAAGAGAACGAGGTTGTTCTTTAAGCGCCTCAGCCAAAGAGGATCCAGTTAGAGTTTTCGACGGCGATCAAAATAACTCAGATTTGAGCAGCGCCTCATGACCACCTTGGTAAATGATCGTTGGACATTTTCCAAATCCGTTCCGTCTTTCTTTCTCAATTGGCTGTGAACGATATTACAGTATTCCAGAGTCGGTCGTACCATTGTCTTGAATGACTCAAGTCGTGCTTCAGGTAGGGAGAAAGTTATGGTGATATATCCGCATAACTGCCTTGCTTTCGTAACCTGATAAAGCACATGTTCGGAGAAATTGAACTAGTTGGAGTACCTAATTCCTAAGTCCCGAACTGAATCAGACGTTGGGATCACGTTTCCGGCAAGTGTGATAGAACCTTCTGGGATGCGGCATCTTTACCCGAGTACTTGGGATTTCACTGCGGAGAACTTCATTAATAAACATTCACTAGCTATATTTAGTGCGGATAGGTCTTCACATATGTTTCTCAGGCACATTTGTAGTTGGTCTGGGTGAAATGAGTAGACCAGTTTGACGTCATCTGCAAACAGAAATGGGTGTCCATGTTTGATCGGGTCACATATGTTGTTGACTTAGATTAAGAAAGGTAGTGTTCCGAGCACATTTCCCTGGAAGACACCGCTGGTTATTTGTTTCAGTGTAGAATATTGCTGACCGATTTTAACTACCTGAGTTCGACCGTTTAGATATGAGTCGAACCAGTTAAGCAGCGGATTTCCATTTCCATATGACTCTAGAGCAGACAGCAGTGGCTTGTACGGCACGCGGTCGAACGCCTTTTGCATGTCCAACATAATTATAATAATTGTCATTCTTTTGTCAATCATAGTCGTGACTTGATCGAGAAATTGTAGCTGGCACGTAACACAGGAGTGTTTTGAGAGAAAGCCATGCTGTGAGGGGTTGATCAGATCCAGTCTTGTAAGATATTGAACAACGTTCTTCTTGACTATTCCCTCTAGGGCTTTGGAAGCAGCAGAGGTGTGATTTATTGGGCGGTAGCTTGACACTTTATTTCTTGGGCCACCCTTGTGCTTAGGCATTATAATGGATTGCTTCCATTGAGTTGGAAAGCAGCCGGTAGTGAGAGAAAGTGTGAAGATGTTTAATAACAATAGAGCGAGGATTTTTCCTCCGAGTTTTATAACAGTTTGGGGCCTGGACGAGTTGATGGTTGTATGGATGCGATGGCACTTTGCATCTCTCTTAACGTCACAGGGATATTACAGCATAGTTCGGTGGTTCATTTTGGAAGTGGAGGATGAAATGGCCGAGTGTTGGGGACAAAACGGGAGGCAAAACTAGTGTTGATAGCCTCGCATATACAGGAGATGTCGTGCGTTATTGAACCATCGTTTAGAGCCAAAGTTTCAATTTCCTGAAGGGGTTTATGGTTCTTTCTTTTGAGTAGTTGCATCAACGCACTTACTTTTTCAGGAGTTCTAAGTATCCGACTTTCTTCTTTGATTTTGGCCGTTTGGGTTAGACTTTGTAAATGTAGCAGATTCTCGTGTATTTGTAGCAATGTTGCGAAGCTGTTGCTCCTGCGATATAGCGATTTGAGTTTCTTTAGTTTGGTTTTGGCTTTGTACAGAAGCTTGAGTTCGCCACTATGTTCATGGGTATTTCTCCATACAGTAGGTGCCAGTAGATCCACACCAAGGGCAATATTGTTAATAAACTCATTTGTAGCCACAGTAGGGTTGTGAGTTAGGAATGACGTATCTCATAAGTTCATTAAATAAGTTCTAGTCCACACGATGGAGATTGCAAATGGGTTTTAGCATTTTATTTGGTCGTTTAGTTGAATCTATAGTCATATCACAGCACCATGTTATGATCACAGCCAGGTAGGGGATTATCAATGAATATATAAGCGTAAGAGATTCCCATCGTGAATACAAGATCTAAGGTAGTGGCACTTCTGGTTTGCTCTCTAACATGCTGGGTCCATCCATTGAGGTGAATACATGAGATGATTTCCTCAATCGCTGAAGTGTTGCTGAGTGTAGGCCGCATCCAGTTAACATGTGGTAAGTTGAAATCTCCACACATAATTTTGGATTTGTATGTGATGCTGGAAGCAGCGTTTATCATGTCGATTAGGTTTTATGTTTCACATTGAGTGGTTCGGGGTTGCCGGTAGAGACAACCCACCAGAAGATCAGTAGCTGGGATCACTAGACATAGTGTATCTTCTAAGTCATTTAGCACAAGTTGATGTGCGGGAATTGCAGTCAGGTTATTTCGAAGATATATGGCACAGCCACCACCACGTTTGTGTGAACGATCCTTGCGGAAAAGTTTATAGTCTAAGATGTTAAACTCATTTCTGATGTGCACCAAGTTTCGGTGATAAAAGCATTATGGGGGGATCTCATAAACACAACTGTTGTAAGTCGATCTAATTTAGGTAAAAGGGAACGAATGTTAATGACGACAGATTTGAAAGACATTGTTAATTTGGAATGAAAGTGGTGGGTAATGTTTGTTTCTTCGTCATTGTATCTAAGAACTGTGTTGTGTGGTACCTGAGGCACACTGAGCACTACATCGTACTGGATAGAATGTACATACTCCAGTACTTTGATTATTCTCTGATTCATACTCGCACGTGAAAGGGGCTGGATTGGTGGGGGAGGAAGTGGTGGTGTATGATAGTCTAAAAAAACTTACATCCGTAGTATACAATAGTGGGGGCTGCTGAAGTCTACGAAATCGTTTTTCTTCGGATTGTATTGTTGCCAATTGAGTAATACAGGGGGTGGTGGTGGGTGAATTTTGACTTGAGGTAGATAGGGGTTGCACCCTCTTAGCTGTGAGTCCGTGTGGCCTACCACCATTTTGTTTGCCATATATATATATATATATATATATATATATATATATAATGATTACAGGAGAGCCCATGATGCCCTGAGGCTTGTAGTGGCTAGCTTCCGACAGATCGTTGACCAGCTGTTCCTAACGTTATACCGTGGACTCGTCCTGGACGCTTTCTCGTACCTTCCGGGATCCTTCTCATGCTACGCCGTTTCCGGTAGGCGATGCGCTCTGCGCTGACCCAGTGACCAGTGACAAATAAGCTAGCTGGGTTTCTCAATCCCCGGAAGCCATTATTCATTGAATACTGGAATATCAGAACCCTGTTGGGTGTCGGCAGCCAAGCGTTGACCATGCACACACTGCATGACTACCAGATCAACATAGCATGCCTATCAGAATTTTGAATACCCGGCTATGGCTCTCGACAAATCAAAGTCCATGGTGTAGAAACTTCATATTGGCTTCACCACAGCGTGCCGGAAGATAATTCTGGCAGTAATGGGTTCACCATAGCTTTCAGTTTCCAGACATACAACGCTTTCTCTTGTAAGCCAGTATCACCTAGAATAGCTATTGCTCGTTTCAAAGGTCACCTGATGTATCTGACCAGATTATCTGTCTACGCACCAGCTCTATCCTCAACGGAAAAGGTCAAAGACGAATTTTACGATACTCTACGGACAGTGGTGAATCATGTTCCAAAACTCGACATCCTCATTATTGCTGGGGACTGGAATGCACGAACCGGTCCTAGGAACGATCAGACTCGTCACCTACTCAGGTGATGCGCCCTTGGAGAGCGTTGTGATAATGTAGACCGCTCGCTCAGCTTCGCTGACATTAACCGGTTGTGCATAACCAATACTCGCTTCCAGCATCCCAGGAAGCATCTTTCGATGTTGTCCTCCACTGGTGGTCATACAGCTAGCCAAATAGATCACATCTTAATCCGATCCCGGTGGGTGTCCTCCATTGATGACTGTCGAGCTTACAGTAGCGCTGAAACTGACAATAAAAGTGGTTCGGACCACGTACTCCTGCTCGCCATCTTCAGACTCCGCTTGACAATGCGCCGAAAGCCCCTTCCACCGAAGCGTGCCAACACTGCCCCACTGGAAAATACTGACTGCTGCCGCTTCCTTGAGGCAGCAATAGAAACAAAACATCCTGCCAATGCACCACGCCTCGTACCTACAGGAGATAGGTCTGTTAACGCTATTTGATCTAGGCTAAAATCGTCAGTTCAACGCGC